ACAATCGAAGATTGAAAGCCTCCTGTAAAAAAATTAGAAAAAAAAAGGGAAAGAGAGAACAAGGATGATGACAATGGAGGGGACGATGGATAAGGGGGTGTTGGACGATATCATACAGCGGCTGCTGGACGGCAAGGGCGGGAAACAGGTGCAGCTTTCGGAGGCGGAGATCCGCCAGTTGTGCGTCAACGCACGGCAGATCTTCCTCTCTCAGCCGAATCTCCTCCAGCTCCGTGCCCCCGTTAGGATCTGCGGTTCGGTTTCTTATTTTCCCTTTTTTTTTTTTTTAATTTTCGCAGAAAAGTTATGTGATCGATTGGTGTTTTGTTCTTTATTTGTTTTGTTTGGGAGTTTGGGGATGATTTTGGTTGCCTGATGTGTTTGGTATGTGAGATATCGATGGATTGGATTCTTAATTAGAGAATCTTTTTGAATGAGATTTTGAGCATGAAAGTCAATTTCATAATAATAAATTAATAAAAGATATGTTTTGTTTTCATTTCTGGATAAGTTGTTTCCTGGATGCGGTTGATTCGAGAAAAGTTTGAATCTTGACGACTTTTTGCAAAATAAAGTAACGAAAACTTTTGTAGACGTGAATCGTGATCCCAAACAAGTATTTTCTAACATCATGGAAATTTGGACATTGTGGAATTTTTATTGGTTACCATGCAAGCAATTATTTTTATAACAATAATAATAATAATAATAATAATAATAATAATAATAATAATAATAATAATACTTGGGTCAGTTGGGTATGTTTTTATTAATATTTGATGATGTGCTACTTATATTATACTAATTATAATTATAACACTAATAAGGAGATAATTGAGGATCTTAACTCGTGTTTGGTTTCACGCACTTGATCTTGTTGGATGATTGAGCATCTTTTTGAAAGATTTATTTTCTTCTTTTTCATTTTTGGAAATATGGGTAGAATTTGGGATTATGATGTAGGACAATAGGAGAGTTATCTGCCAAATTGTAAGATCCATTAGATGGGGGTGCTTGGTTGGGAAATGGGGCAAATGATATTTGTGT